TATAGTATTATGAAATCTGTTCACTCGCACATCAGTGATCGCTCTTTCGCTAGGGTTCTTAGGTGTGGCTGTTTTGCTTCCATTTGATCGCGTGTAGCCACACATTAGTGGTAATTGCTGAACGGTACTTAGAAACTTCTCATGAGAAACTGCCCATCGATGGATCAAATTTGTTCTTTCTTCCTCTCGACGCGCTTCGTGTTGATTGAAGGTCTCCGACTCTAAGGGGTTTAAAGTTTTATAGTTATTATTCACTGATCTCATTCATGATGGATAATTCTGGATCTTGAGAAACGGACAACTAGTCGATGCATATTTCGCGATAGCTGAATATCCATTCTGACTTACTGCACTAGGAGACATTGACGTACGGTACAACGGCATCTCGGGTCATTAATCTTCTCTGCTATCCTTCCTGTCGGTAGCAATCAAAGCGAGCTATTCACGCAAGCGCGTCTTGTACGTTATTCAAGGAACACTCGTTGGACTTAATGCCTGTTTTCAGAATAGCGGTTAAATCCGAGATCTTCGCGAATAGTGAGCAAACATTAGTGTTGACCATTGGTGGTGTGCAAGTAAGTGGTATGACATCCGGCCAACCTGTCTTTTTTGATCCAAGTATATTTATGAGTCTGTTACCAATCACATGAGTTCTGAGCAGGAGAGAATTCACAGTTTGCAATCGGACCATGACCTTCAGAGAACATGTATAAATCTTGTGTATACTCCGCATCGCAATCAAACGCGATAAAATCCGATGTGACGACGAGCATGAGAGTGTAGCGCAGCCAATCGAAGCCCGCACTTCATCTCAGATAGTTGATTTGAACGTATTTACCTTCCCATTTTCGTACCTTAGTCTCTGGGTTGTCTATACAGGTTCATACATTTTATAATGTCTCGTTCGGAAATCATCGTGGGTTAAAAGATTAGTGATCAGAGTTCGTGGGAGTCGTTTTTCAAGTGAGGTTTCGTTTTTCAGTTTGAACAACCATTAACCATGCACTTTCGTGAGCCGGTTTTGGTTGCTGTTTTTGGCTGAACAGTGGGAGAAAGACAATAAAGGTGAAAGTAGAGTCAAAAAGAAAATGGAGAAGTTCGGTGGNACTAATGTTGCAGAGAAATTGAGATGCACGGGCACCACTGTTGACGACACTCAGTCAAGTCACTCAGTGTCTCTAACCATCGGTTGCGATCATCCCGAGGTCCCCATCCAGGGATCCCAATGAGACCTATGTGAACTAGTTTTCTAGTCAGGGTTTTCATACCCTTGTGCCAGGCCCTAGCTTGATCACCATTGGCTTTGTTCCACCCACTACCCATCTCGGCAAACATCGCTCACCGTGGTAACCTATTTGGTGACATGCGTAACACATGCCCCAATAACGTATTCTGTGGAGGTCGACCACCTGCTCCAGTGGACGGCCGCGTCTACCTAAAACTTTTCGCCTGACCCCGGCATTGCTCGTCCGGCTGCCCCACCAGATTCGTGCAATGGTACGTAGACAGCGATGTTCGTGAGCAAAATATCTTAACAGTCTTAGTATATCATCCACTTCGACATGACCTTCGTTCATTCTGCCTATTTCGGTCTCATTTACTAGATGAAATACTTTCACGTTTCGCGTGTATTTTTGTTAAAACCTTCTGTTTTTCAATAATTTTCACCTTTCTAACTTTCAACTTCCCAGTCCCACACCCAAAGAGCTTTCTGGGCATCCTTCGCCTGCACCAAGCATGACCGCGGGGCGTAATCAAAAGCAACGCGCATCAAACCTGGAAGGAGACGCATGTGTTCCAAACTCCGCTCGAAGCTCAGTGATCTCTACCCGTTCCTCCGAACACCATCTTTTCGACTGTAAGTGTTCCAGTTTAACACATTCTACCTGAGCAGTAGGAAGGGGTACCTGTCATGGCGAATTGAATATTCAAGTGCACGCGGATCAAGTCGGGGGGATCACCAATCGCACCGTAAGGGGCGATGTTAAAAAAATCACTGCACTGCATATTGCCTCTTGTAGATACAGATATTCCAGGTAAATCAGGGCACTGCGACCAACAGTACATCACTGCGACATAATAAATCCGTCAATGTTTTCACTGAGGGGACCTGTGGATTCCTCAGTACTGCTAAAGGGAGAGTAAACTCTTTTTCACTGAAACGAGCATCGTAAAATGACTCAGGGAGGATCCCGTTCTCAACTCTCCGTCTGAAGGGTTTGCTAGTTGTAGCGCTGCAGCTTTCAGACTGCTATGGCCCAATCAAGCTGTTCATTGGGTCCATAGAATTTAGCGCTTTCAATAATAATAATAATAATAATAATAATAATAATAATAATAATAATGCGTGTACGGAAGGAAAAACACCAAGGTCTGAGAAGAAAATGAAAGGGAGCCATTTGATTGACCGCTTCCCCGTTTTCGAAGATTTTTTTCTCATACTCCCCTGAAAGAGCGTAGGAATGATTTGTGTTGCAAAATTGGAACGTTTCTATGCTTCTTCGAGCCACAAGTTAAACAAACGAGTGGCTGGGTGAAGGATAATTACAGATGGCTCTTAGTTTGATGCTAGCTATTCAGCCAGACTCTTCTTATACATAACACTTTTAAAAGGTGTCCAGTGAAACGCTTAGGTTGACGACGCTACTGAGACGAGTAGAGTCAAAGTCATCCCCAGCCCTTCAACACGAGGTTCGGACTGTAGTCCTTTGATCGTTTTAGTTTACTATTCTCCACTGTTGTTCGATTACTTTGCCACGATTTAACCAAGGATCGCTTAGGTGAATGGTGTACTCAGTGAACGGTCGGACGCATGTTGATAACAAATGGAGTTCACTGCTAGTTTAAACTGTTCACAAACACGTTTGAGTACTCCAACTTGCTTATTAATCTTTGATGACGTTCTAATAATGTGTGCACCCTCCTCCCGTCGTCACATGACTCACAGGTCGAATGATCAACACAGTCAATGAAGTCTGTCACTCATTTACTGGATAACTCAATTTGGCATTTTATCATTGCGAGTTGTGCTGACAGACTCACATACTTTGAGGTTAGGGCTTAAGGGCCATTTGGACTAGGAGGTCTGGGAGCGACAGGACTGTGAAACGTTCGACGTGGCGCTACTTTTAGATAAATTTTTCATGAATTTGTGACGGATCGCCAATGCATAATCGATCTCGGGAGTTTAAATGAATCGATTATGAGAACCGCATCTCGGTCATTACCACGTCGAGCAAAACGCATCTAGGAGCGACAAGTTCTGCATCACTCTCTCTCTCTCTCTCTCTCTCTCTCTCTCTCTTTTGTACTTCCTTGGTTATCTGAGCTGAGTCATTGCGCGTGTTTTCACGTGCATTCACGCATTCTGCCTAATGTCATTGGTCATTGGTTTCACTCGGTCAGAAAACAATGGGCGATTCATAATTTGGCTTATGGACCGATTAGTGTATTCACAGAATCCATCAATCTCATGGTATTCTGTCTTTTGTTTTTATTGTCATGATCAGTCCGGAGAACTTTTGACTGTTCTGTCTTTCGTTCTCATCCGGTCGGTTTTAGCTGTCAGTGCAAAAAGCCTCACTTCATCCTCAGCAAGTACCGCACACATGAATCACATGCACAAATCACCGACCAATCCATCCGGTACGACACACGGGCAAAATCAGACTGTTTCTGCACAAGTGGTAAACGGTGGCACTGGTCCGGCTGCGGCCACAACCGAACGCCCGGGGCCCAGTCATAATCGCCATATAAAAATACGTAAGTGTTCCCATTGTGATATTATTCATTAGTTTAAAATACGATTATTTCACACACCTCTTTTTGTCTTCAAAAATCAGCTGATTGATCGATCGTATACGTACGCAAATGCTCCACGATGTTTCCGAATGTGCTGTTCACACTGTTGCTTTGTGTCCACACTTTATTGCAGAGTTCTCCGATTCAACCACTCAGTTTTTCTGTTGTGTTTATTATGCCTCCGAATTCTTCCGATTACGTCAACTACTTCTACCTCAAGGCGACGTGGCGTAAGTTCCCTCAGCATACCGTGAATGATCGGTGCATTGGCCTTTTGGGTTTAGCTAGCTCATTTTTGCTTTGCATTGTTCATTATGACTATTGCATCACATTGGTGTACGTGTTCAGTTTGATTCACCATTCTGTCATCTCATCCCAAAGGAGAGTTTTGGTTACATCCGAATTCGTTTTTGTGCAGTACTGTCTATGCTATTCAACAACCGAAGCGCGCTTGAACATTTGTTTATCCTCTTGATGACAGTGTTCCATCTTTTAATTGGTTCGGAATTCCTCTCGATGCATAGAATATGCATAGATTGATTGATTGATTAATCAACTGCGTTGGCTTGTTAAGCAGGTTTCACTGTGAATCCTGGTTTTGAAAGCGAATCAACTGACCACCAGTAGTAATACTAGCAACCGTAATTAATTTCCTTCTCTTCTGTCGTTCAGCTTTATACGTTCGTTGTCACGGTGCTACCAATGGGATGCGCGTGGTGGAAAATCCGGTTCAATTTTCATGAAAACCTGCGGTGAGAATATTTTCTCTTTTTTTCTGCGTACTAACCTTTTTCACCTCTCATCTGTAATGTGCTCAGTAGTCTTCCACTGATGTCCCTCTTCCCTAAAAATAGACTGTCCGTGGTCAACTATCACTGTCTACGTCGCATTGCACGAGTGGGGTGGGTAAACCGGACAAACAATGCTGAGGTTAGGCGCAAAGTTTCAGATAATCGCGTTCTCTCACTGGAGCAAGTGGGCAACCTCTATTGATTATTCTAACTTTGCCTAGGCAGGCAGCTGATGGAAGAAGGTCAAGGGCGGTTAAAATAGGACCTGGCGTGGGATATGAAAACCCTGACTGGGAAACTCCATCATATAGGTTGCGTTAGGCTTCCTGGATGGTGACCGGTGGTGAAAGACACCGAGTGATATTACTGAGTGTTGCAAGCATTATCGCTCGTGCATCTGCTCACTATCCTTGCAACCTTAGTCGATGTGAATTCTATATCTGCTCTTGATTCTTCTCTCGATATTGCAATCTTATTTCTTATTCAAACGGGCAACCAAAAGACAGCAACCAAAACTGGCGCATGAAAGTTTGTGGATAATAGTTGTAAAGATTGAAGTGAACTAAACTGCTTCCCTCTCGAAGGATCAATCCAAATGTCCCCCTCAACTAACACTGTTCTCAAAATTGTTCATAAATCTTAACTGCAGTATTTATTTAATGAAGTGGTTCTGTTTCTCTATTCGGTGAGATGAGCGATAAAAACTACGGGGGAGGGGAACTCCGATAGTAACGAAGATTTAGCCGTGGAAACTGGTCGCTTAAGCGCATGGACTCGGAGTACTGAATGGCATAAAAACTTAATATTTAGGTGCACAGTTTAGCTTCCTGTTGAGGGTTTTGTTAACCACGGAACTTTAGGAAAAGCGCTTGGATACATCGAATAACTGAGTTGTATTCGGTAGACGCACACTGCATTACAATCCGAGCGAGATCTGATGTTTGTTGGTGTATCTGATGAAAAACATATGGAGACCAAATAGATTTTTTGTCGCTTTACTTAACTCGGCACATTGCTCATTAGTGTTGCTTTGTCTCGGGCCGGGTTCACATTATCCTAACACATATGTGACATTGTCATTCTCATTGATCTTACGCTATCGATTTTCTGACTTTCTCATTCTGCTGGAGAAATTGATTACGAAAACAAATGAAATTCCGCTGTTATTGTTCCCCCGTAAGACAGATCGGCCCTACAGTACCCAATGATATCACAATTCCATTTTAAGGGCATGATGTTCCTATGATACTTTTTACACAATAGCTTCGAAAACCGGTTAGATTCCACTGCTTGGTGAGGTGATCTACCACCTATGGACAGAGCGATACACTTGGTTGAGGAACTCTCCGATTAGAATAATTCAGCTTTTGTCTCTTAAACTAACAGACAGTATTCTATAAAACCGAGGTTTTCCCATCACTTCGTTTACTCGCTCCACGTTTCACCACCATATCCATCCACAATCCGTAACCCATCACTGTTTTCTACATTTACCTGTAACAAAGACACTGATGAATATGTTTTCATAAATCGGATAGCACAGATTTCTGAAACAAAACCCTATGAATGTTCAGAATTCTCTGCGGTTTTGACGTCTATACGATGTGTCTTCCCACAAATTTGGAACCTCTCTCTGGGTAGCACCGGTTGTTTCCATAAAAAAGTGTTACATTCATAGATTACTGTGGTGCATAGGAAATGCACGTTTGGATTTCGCACTGATTAGCTCTATTGCTTCCTCTGGGCGAGTTGTTGATCCTTCTTTGCTCGACTGTGCTTTTTTCTGTCTCCAGATATCCGAAACTTAACTTTATTTATTACA